AGAAGGGAGCGGAGGAGAAAGGATAAAGTCTCACTAACAGGGTTTTGTTTGCCATCTGGGCATCATATCTGTGCGCCCACTACATATATACAGGTATTGCCCACTTCTCAAAAATTCCTGTTAAAACACCACTATGGCACAAGACCTACATTAGTAATTTTTGGTACAATAAAAAATGAAAATAGTGCTCAGCTTTAGTTTTAAGGCAGCCCTAATAGAGTCAGATGTACCCAGTATTTTGAGAATGACGCCACCAAGCTCCTCCAACAAGAATTACTCTATTGGGCTGTGCATTTATCCTATCATCCCTGCTTTACCATATGGAACTGAAATAGCATATTAATAAAGTGAGACTCTTTAAGAGTCTCCCTGGCTCCCCTCTGATCTTATCCCTGCTTATATTACAAGTGATTTAAGATTTTATATATAGTATGATTTGTTAGGTTACTTTGTGATAAAGAAATATTCCAAACATTTTCCATATACATTAGTGGTAGTTGTTTCTTTAGTTTATGTCATTTAAGGATAGGAGAGGTTTTATATAATCGCTCTATTTCTGGAAACCTGATAAACATAAATCTATCTATAAATAAAATTAAGGAATATAAATAGAAATAAAACTTTTGGATGCTTTGAAATGTATAATTAAAAAAGAATGGGTCCTCTTTTTGTTTTCACATTATACAAACAAAAATCAAGGCACACTTTAAAGGGAATGGAAGAAAGATCTGGATGTTCCCACTTGTAGAACAAGGATCCTCTACTAACATACACTAAAGACCTTCATAGAGAGACAATAAGCCTTAAAGAGAAACATGTTTTATTGAGGATTTGTTGTGTGCCTGGCACTTAACCTTAAAGGTCAAGTGAACAAATGGGTATGGATTGCTCTTTCGCTGGCACCTGGGGAGATAGGAACCCCTTCATGGAACACAATACTCTGAGGTTGAGAGGCACTAAACAACTTATCCCCACTGAGATTTGAATTTAGAGGGTGAGAGTAAAGAAAAAGAATAGATTAAATATAAAAGACTTCTATGCCTCAGAGGTTGTTGGGACAAAGAGACAAGGCCCCAGATATATCAACAGAGGCCATCGGAGTTTGGGAGCCTACTATATGCCACTGTCACCCTACGATATGCCATTGTCACCCTTTCTCTCTCCCTCCACATCTTGTCCAACACGGATCAAGGCCAAACTCCAGGAAGGAGAGATTCACAATCTCCCAAACTCACCAGCTGAGACAGAGCAAGCCACTCCCCTTTCACTGTCCATTTCACCAGAATTTTCCTATAATTCCCACGGTCATTTACATCCACAGCACACCAACAGAGTCCAATAACATACAAATGTAAAATCAATGAATCAATGTTAGGATATTGCTGGTACAACAGATAATTTCACCTTTATCTGCTGGCCAAGTTCTGGAAGACAAGGCTGAGCCTTAATGTTCATACTGTATACATTAATATGAGTTGTTCAAATATTGCAATAATTACAGATGCCCCCACAGACCATAGGGACCCCCAGAATTCCCCGTGATGATACAAAAATAAGGTTAATGCCTTCAGGATGCTGCTTCAGTCCCACCAACTATCTGCTGTGGTCGTTTAGTGCCTACCAAGCCTTTCATTAACACCCTTAGCTCTATCATGGGCTCCCCAAATCACTGGTAGGTACCTAACAGATTATGCATGATACTGTACCCTCTGGTTGACATAATCCACTCCATAAGGTGGTCAGGACAATTAGACTGGTGATTACGGTATTTCAGCACTCAAGGAACAAAACAATCTCTTCACAGTTCTTAATAACCTAAACTCATCATCTTCAAATGTACCATATACTGAAAATCTATTTTGTGACTTGGTCTTTTCTTCCTTTTAAAGACCAAAGAACAGACAGAGTTCTACAAATTTTAAGTGAGACTGGATACTTAAGAGTTTTTTTAAGTTGTTTCTAGCATTTACTTTTCCTCTACACAAAGATCGGGGGTGCATGACAAGAGGAGGAAGCAGAATCAGATGAAAAGACACACCAGCCACCCCTGCTCAAATATATGAAATCAGATTAGAGCACCTCTCAATATTTCTTTCCTTTCCCTTTTGAGCAATCCTACAATGAAAATGCTGAAAGTTTTTTTTTTCATGGCATATAACAATTCAAAATAAATTTGTGAGTATGAGTTAAGCCAGCCTGGCAACGGCCACTTCATAAATATCCCAGAAGAGATTGTTCATGATTATGTCACTGAGCTCTTTCTACCTCTTAGGTAGAAAGGTAACAATTGGATGAATTTTTCAAAGTCCCAACATAGAGATAAAATTATATTCACAAGCCAGCAAAAACTGACAGAGGCAACAAGATTGTGCTAACCATCTGTCACATTTTTCAAGTTATAGCACAAAATTTATCTCAGTGGTTTCAAATTGTGGTTCCCCAGACTGGAAGCATCAGCATCATTCAAGACACTATGAGAAATGGAGATTTTCATGTCCCTCCTTAAACCCGTTGATTCAGAAACTGAGGGTGAGAACAGGAATCTGGTGCTGGCAATATCCTCAGATTATTCTGATGCACAATCGAGTATAAGAAGTCTTATTTTATCCTACTGGCTTCTCCCTACTATTAAATGGAATAGGTAAGAAACACAGCATTCTCAAACACGAAGCAGCAGGGATTCAGAGAGGTTCAGTGAGTAACCTAAAGTCACACAGCTAACCGACAATCAAACAGAACTTAGCAGGTAAACCCAAGCCTTTGGACTCAATATCTAGCATTCTTTTATCATCTCACTGAGATGCAATATAACTAGCCAGGTAACTTAAACCACTTTGATTCTGGAAGGGCAGATACGAACTGGGAAGAGTAGAGGGCAGAAAAAAAGACAAAATAAGGAAGTATGAGCCTGTGCTAGTCCACAGATCATCAAAGAGAACAAAGAACTTGCATCACAGTTCATCATATTCTAGGTTACTCCTGACTGCAATCTGTTCTGTCCTCCTCTTTAGTGCTCCTGGCCACTCCTCTTTAGTGCCTACACATCCTGCAACGCTCACAGGAGCTTCTTTTCACCTTCTATGTGGGATGTTTGACTCCTGTCCTCTTCATCTCTCTTCCTGCACCACACACAATCTCTATCTCATTGGTGTTCTTGATAATTTTCTGTCATCTCTATCTGGCAGGTAGCATCTATACCTTACCACCCTAGCTAGAATCTAGTCTAGAGCCTGGCATTAGCAGATATGAATGAAAAATACATTATATAAATGCACAAAATAAAACATCATAAACCTGGATGTTTTTCCACAAAAAAACCTTCATTTTCCAGTTACATGGGATATATTCTTCCAAAGTAGACTTTCTGACATATCATTTAAAATACACATTAAAAGCATCACTGTGATGAAATCCAAAGCTTACCCTGAAATTACCTTGTCTATTCTAATATGTCTCTTCCTCTCTTCTATCAATCCTTCACTACTTTTCAGTAAATCCATCATCACATTAGCTCTCTACCTGATGATCTCAAGATAGGCAAGATAGTTCTATTTGTTGCTGAATTGCACTTTCCTTTTTTTTTCCTTGACAAAAACAAAACACTTAGTCTATGCCTGAATTTATTGGTTAGATTCTATTTCATTTAGACTGGGACAGAAGGAAAAAAGTGTAAAATCTGCAGTTAAAGGCTGCATGTTTACATCCTTGCCCACAGCATTTAATAACTGGCATGAGCTTTCAAGGAAGCTGTGGCTCATACTCCAAGCTCCCTCTGCGCTTCCAACTGGACAAAGTAGACAAGCAGACCCACTCAGCTAAGTAATTGGATTCACTACCTGGAATATTTAAATTGTTTTTAAGACACTGGAAAATGGCCTAAGAAGATTAAAGAAAAATACCCTGGAGGATAAAAGGCTATAATTTACTAGGTGGAAAATCTTTTCAGCAAGAAAAACACCTCATTCTCCTAAAATCCCTCCTGCTAGAGAGATGTCTTAATCATATTGGACCTAGATTCACTTAGATCCCAGCAATTGGGGTTTATTCCAATGGTTTGTTCTTACTAGATCTTTTGAATGACTCCCAAGCTATAGTGCTAAAATAACATCTTCTATTTGAAGATTCACATTTTCAGCAAAATTATTCAAGTCTTTGAAAGCAATGGAAGGAGGGAGTCACTTGAAGTTCGGGGGTCCAGGGTTCCTATGAAACAATGGAGTTCCAGGACTGAGCCTCTCTATGCCTCATCTGGAAAAAGATGTAGGTAAATCATGGGCAAAGGTCTTCATGGTTCTATTTCAATCTGAAGAATTGTCCAGCCAGCCAAAAACTAGCTTTCAGCCTCTGCCTGCAGAACCACGGTCTCTTCCTGGACCCCTTATTACCACTCTTCTGCTCTCCAGACCCCCCAGGGGTGTTCCCCCCTGTCCTTCACAGGCCCCCCTCCCTCGGAGCCAAGCGCTGAAGTTTGGCTTCAACGACCACCTGTCGGCTGGACCGCGGTGTCCTCAGCCGCGTGGGCTCCAAGCGCTAAGGGTTAGCAACCACTGAAGAGTTTCGTACTTCGGGACTGCTCTTTGCTAAACAGGGGCAAAGTGGGTGACCGGGAGTCCGTGCGCGGGCAGAGAGAGGCGCGTACTGTCCGTAACCCAGCGCTTTCCAGATGGTGCCAACTTCACACGCCCCACTTTGCGAACTCTCAGACCCGTCAAACCAAATGCCTGCACCTCTCGCTCTTTTGGCCCAACAGCTTGAGGACCCTCAGAGGGCGCTCGCCAGACCCAGCAAAGAAGTCAACTAGTAAACCCCGAGGGCACAGGCTCGCGCGCCCAGCCCCTACTCTACTACCGGCCTGGGCATGGGCCAACCTGTGCGTCCCGAGGCCGCTCCGGCGGCTCCGGGTGCGCCCATTGCATAACGCGCCCCTTACCCCACCCCCACGCCGCTCGCCCTGCCCCTCGCCCGGCCAGCACCCCCAGCCGGGCCACCCCAATACTTACATCATCCCACTTGACGAATTTGGTGCCCTTCTTGAGGCTGTCGGACACGCACACTGGCTTGAGTTGCAAAGCGTGCACTCCAGGCTGTGCCCCAGCCATCTGGGCTCACCGGGGCTCCCGGCGGCCCGGGCAAGCGCGGCTGGGATGGGGCGCTGGGCGCGGGGCACGGGGCGCGGGCTCAATTCACTGCTGGGAGACGCTAGACTCAGCCACGGCGCCGGCCTCCCCGGCCTCCCGGCCTCCGCACCTCCTCCGGCGCAGCTCAGCAGGCGGGGCGCGCGGGGGCGAGGCGCCGGGCCATGCCCCGGGCGGGACGCGGGGTCGGGCGCCCGCTGTGGATGCGGAGCCTCAGAGGGCGAAGGGAAGCCGAGCCCAGCAGCCGACGCTGCCTGCCGCCGCCGGATTCTGCTCGTCCGCCGCCGCCGCCTCAAAGCGCACCATTCAGCACATCCTCTATACCGAGGGAGAGAGGAGTGACACACGCTCAGCGCCCCCCCCCCTTGGCCCTGCTCCTTCCCCTCCTCCCTCCGCCTCCCGCCCCCCCTTCCCCGCCACCCTCGCTCGCTCGGTCCCTCCTTCCCTCCGCGGCTCCCAGCCTAACTTTGCGCGCTGGGTCAGGCGCCGGCAAGCGGGGACACAGCGGCACCTCCCGGCGCCCAGGGCGTAGTGCAGCCAACGCCTGCGCCGCCCGCCTGCCCTCTGAGCATGCCCTGAGCCCTGGGGGTTGGGGTGCCCGGGGTGACTCCAGGCTGCCGGTCCCCGAGGTTTTCTTTGGAACTTGGAAGCAGAGCTGGGGAGCCATTGGATGCAAATTGAGTGATTTGAAAAGGGAGCGGTCGGCGAGAATCGGAAAGGCGACCTACAGCTTTGCCCAGGAGCTGGAGCTGTGCTGCCACAAACCAGCTTTTTGAGAAACGATTATTATTTATTAGTCGAAAAGAGAGGAGTTGAGAGGTTTAGAGAGCTCTTTGGGGAAATTTCGGTGCTCCTGAGAGTTTGCAGCGCGCTGCTCTGGAAGCTAAGTATTTGGCTAAAGTTGTGATTTTGAGATAGAAAATCTGTTCAGAGAATAGAAACGGATTTTCCGTGTGTGTGTGTGTGTGCGTGTGTGTGTGCGTGTGTGAGAGAGAGAGAGAGAGGTGAACCGTAAGTCAAAAACGTTCCTCAAACTCAACAATTATGTCGTTTTATTTTTTTTTTATTTGAAAAGAGGAAATATCCCCACCAGAATGAATACATTTTGGAAGATGGCTAATACCAGTGTTTGAAAAGATGTGGAGCATCCACTCATCCAATGATGGGGAGAGACTATAAAATGATAAAGCTACCTCGGAGAACAGTTTCTTATAAAGTTAAACATTTATTGAGCATAAAAACCCTGAGTTCCACTCCTAGGTTTTTGCTCAAGAGAAATGAAAGCATGTGTCTGCATAGACTTGTGTAGCAATGTTCCTAGTTTTCTTCACAATAAGCCAAGACTAAACCACAAATATCAATCAACAGGTAAATGGATAAAAAGGTGGGGGAGGGGCTGGATACCCAAACAAAGAAATATTGTTCAGAAATCAAAAGGAATATCCTGCAACCTCACAGTGACTTGCACAGACCTTGAGCCTAGTGAAAGTAGCTGGTCAAGACAGATCCATTTGAAGGAATTCCAGAACATTCCAACAAGTGTAAGTTGACAAAAATATGTCAGTAGCTGCTTCCACCAGGGAAGAGCACCAGACAACTTCTGGGGGTGATGAAAATATTCTATTTCATATGTGTGTATGTTTGTCAAAAACTATAAAACTCTATATAAATGAGTTCCTTTTATCATCAGTAAGTTACACCTCAATAAAGTTAGTTTTTAAAAACATAAAACAGAATATGAGGCCAAAAAATGGCACAAGAAGTATTTCTAACCCTAAAGTATTTGTCCCTCCTCTCCTGTCCTCTACCTACAGGGTATCCAAGACTTGATGGCTATAAATGATCAAACTATTGCCCAAAATCCACTGGGAAATGTGTTATTAAATATTTTGAAATGCTAAAAAATGTACTGATGAACAGTTACATGCGAGATAGTTATATAGTACCACCTGGTGAACAGCACCCCTGATTCCTGTCTTTGAGGGCTTTGTCTTCTCTTTGGAAACTATTTGCTGCACATAATCATTTTCAAGACTGGCATGTCCCTAAAACTAAAACTTATGTGCCTATATTGTCCAAAGACCTACACAGCATCTTTGGCATCTTAGTTACTCTCAGAAAACACCAGACATATTCTAAAATTTCTTTCTTTACATTAGAGGGCTGCCACAAAATCTACTTCCTGAGTTTCTGGTCTTCTCATTCTATTTTCCTTACAACTGATCTTAGATAGTTGTTCTTTTTTCTTTTCCTGTCTTTTCTACAATCCCTTGATTATCTATTTGAAAGATGACTAGACAAGGTTTTATCTATCAGAATAGCTTAGGGAGGCAAGAAAGAGATGTTCATTCTAGAAGTCAAATTTGGAGGATGAGAAATGGATACTAGGCAGAATGAAAATGTAGATTGAAGCACCTTGTAGTGACTAATTGCATCTGTGTTCTCTGTTCCTTGTCCTCCTTTACAGCCTCACATTTTGCCATGTGACTGTTGTTTTCAGCCAGACACTGTCTATTTATCTACCCCATTGATATTAGGCAAAGTGACTTTGCATTAGATATGACATGAGCAAAGTCTTGAAATAAGCTTATGAGATTGAACTTGCCATCTTGGCTTTCTGATCATTTACATGAGATGAACATATCTTAGAGAGCCATCTGGGGTCGACCTAGGCCTTGTGGGCAGCTTGAAGGCAGAAACCAACAGAATTCATCCTAGGCCTATCAGAATCCAGCCAACCTTATGAGCATGACAATAAACACTCATTGTTGAATGCTGCTAAGCTGGGGGGCCATTTGTTATGTACTATTATAGCGGTAATAACTGGTTGAATGAATAGTCATTCATCTAGTATTCTTAATTCTTCTCAGCTGATTCTGTGAATGGAAATGTCAAAAGGAGAGTAAAGCTGCAGAATTTTGAACGTTTATCTTGAAGACAAACATTGGCAGCAAGAGCTGCTTCTGCCAGCAAAGGGATGCAGCTTGATCCCAGAGGGCTGTACACTAAACCCCATCAACATGGAGGACAAGGCTGAGGCACTTCGCTTGATTCAACTTCATTTTCCACACCTCTGATTAAAGATACAAGACAGAAACATTTTTAAAGTGTGGGGATGTTTACCATGCAAAGGATCTGTAAATACAGCCAAAATTTGTGTGAGCCAAGTCTGTGATCCATCAAGTTCAGTGTTCTGTCCTGTATTTGAAACAATAGAAAGGTCTGTTTTTGTGAGAGAACAGAATTGCCATTTGGAATGGCAGCCTCTGGGAGCTGGCTAAGCTAACCTTTGTTGAGGGCTCACTGTAGTTCAGGACACAGAGCTAAGTGCTCCTGAGACATGCAATAACAGAACCCCATATACAACAGCATTCTCCCTCAAGTCTCTGTGGATGTATGCAAACTTTGATTTCACTCAGGTGGTAAAGTGCTTAGGGAAGGTGGTTCTATTGATCTAAAACACTTACAGAACTCCATTCTTCTTTTTTTATGATGGTTTAGGACCCAGATCTGCTCAAAGGACTGAGGGAGGTAGCACTTCATGGAAATTTCTCTCTTTCTTCTATGCTCTCTGTCTCTAATACACACACACACATACACACACTCTGTCTCTCTCTTTCTCAAATACTACATACACACACACACACACACACACACACACACTGTACTGCCAAATACAAAAATGCAGTCTTGGTACTTCATGAGATAATAAAATATATTTATTGTTATAATATGTGCCTTAATTGTTACTCTAATTGACAGTGGATAAAATTATTATCTTTCATTTGCTGGTTATAAAATTGAGTCTGTAAGAGATGAATTAGCCTAATCATTATCACATAGCTGGGGACTAACTTTGAGAACGATGAACTCTGACTTTAGAATTTGACTCTTAGCTACTGGACAATGACTTCCAAAACTCCAAAACTTCCAGCTCAGATATGAATAGTTTCTCCTTACGTTTAACCACAATATGATATCATTATTTATGATTCCCCTATAAAACTGAATTATCAGTTCATAACTCACTTAAGGCTGCCCACAGTGGTGAGGACAAGTAGTTTAATTTGAATAAACCTACCTTTTCACAGCAGCTTTACCAGTCACTAGCTGTGTGAAATTGGGAAAATCTGTTAACTGTCTGAGATACAAAAGGCTAATAAGTTATTCGATAAATAATAGTGATGCTGAGAGCTTATTATATGCCAGGCATTGTTCTAAGGGTTTTATACTTTTAATCCATTAAGCCTCACATTAACCCCTTGAACTGAGTTGCTATTTTCATCTCTATTTTGTAGTGGAGGAAACTGAGTTAGGGAAAGTTAAATGTTTTTCCAATATTTTCCAGTTAGTCAGTGGAGGAAATTCAAATCCAGGCAGTTTGACCCCAGAACCAAGACACTGAATGACCAGACTGTGGTAACTTGAAGAGTCACTGTAAAAGTGAAATGGAATTTTGTGTGTTAAGTCTCTCACATATTTACGGCTATTCAGTGGTAGTAATTGCATTGATAATTATTCTAAAATTGCATTGTGTCGCTTTTTTGTATCCTAGAATAACATTTTATTTTCAGTATTCAAAGACAACATCCTAATTCTGTGGTCTGTGATTTAGTCAACATCTTCTTGCCTTCATTGATTCTATAAAATTTAATCATATCCACTCACTTCTAACCTTTGCTGGAATTCAAAAATTCTTTTTCTATTATGAACAAATAAGTTTAAATTGCACTTAAGGGTCAGTGTTCCTCTTTCTTTCTTGAAAATAATGGAAAGAGGTAGAGAAAAACTATCCCAAACTAGCTTTCTACTAACCTCACCTGGGTTACATTAATCGTCTTCAGCACATAAGGCTGCTCGATGTTGCTGCTCCATACTCTTTCCCTGCCTGGTTGTCTGGACTGAAGATGATCCCCAAAGTGATGTTGGGAGCCCTGCTTAGGAGAAGCAGAACCCCGGCCTGGGTCCCAGCATGTCTGCAGGGTGAATATTACCCTCAACACTTATTTGCCTGCCCAGTATGGCTTTGGAACAAGAAATGCACTTTCAGAGTGTTTAAGCTAAGGAATGTGGGTCCTTAGAAATATTATTATCATTACTACATTTCACATCAATATGAGAAAAGCTTTGTATATTTTAGATGGATAATTAGATCATATATCCTGGCAAAATTGCCAAATTCTGACTAAATGAGATCTAGTAGAAAATAAAATTCAAAAGTAAGACAACTTAACATTATCACTGGTACACAGAAAAGAGATCTACTTTTCCTTCTTGA